TATACGCCATATTCATAGCTTTTCAGCAGTTTTGCTATAAGCCATCGGTTATTGTATCGTAGAAGCAAATATTTTCTTGAAATAAGAGCTACCTTCACCTTATTCGCCCACCTTGCATGCTGACCTCCTCTTCGACGTCTCGTAATTCGGCTCCTACACCAGAACCTCACACAGTGGAGTAACTAATGTATGCTCAGCCAGTTTGTCTAACAAAGCCTGCCTGGCTCAGCCAGTTTGTCTAACAAAGCCAGCCTTTTCTTATTTTCCACACCTACGAGGTCACATGTGCCCGGTAGGGAATAGAGTCATTCCATACCTGGTCCTGTCATTTAACCCTCTTTATGCGCCGAATGTAACGCTGTTGTATGCTGTCCAACCGTCGCTACTGTTCCTTCGTTGAACAACTATCTCCATGCTGTGCCACAACACTGATTTTGCAGCGGCAAAGTTCAGGCGGATTTTTGTGGCAAGTGACACTTCTTTCTTTGCCTAAATATTGAACTAGCTTCGAAAAACACTCGAGTACAGGGCGATGCTCTTTTTTAGTTATGATTTAATGGTATCGTCGCTGGAGATGATGATGGAGCTGTGATATTTAAACTGGTCATCCTCCCAAGAGCTTCATTTCCCTGTTCTGCTTGTACATCAGTTGTGCCAGATCGATTCCTCATCGCTTTTCATTTCCGCGTGTTATGCTGTGTTGCATGCGTAGGCCGTCAAGTAACAGAACTCGTTCCTCGTACTGCTCGCCAGAACAACATCATCTTCGTGCTCCAGGTCGGAAACATATCTTGAACTGCGTGTTTCCTCTAGAGTGAAACCCTCATCTTTGATAGTGTCGGGACTCCTTCAGTAGTGTTGAGTAGCGAAATCGAAAGAATATCTTCCTGATGAACGGTAATATTTACTGTGGAATCTGTCAGATAGTTCCTTTTCATTTTAGCAGCAAGCATGGTTGCGGCATATATTTCTCCAGAATGGAAACGTTGTATTCTGGTATCGGCAAAGCATGTACGTTATTTTTAAATAAGCCGCTTTTGTTTTATTTCATTATCATGTTTTTTAATCAATTGATAGCGCCAGCGGCTACATTTTAAGTGTAAGTTTGGTTGGTAGCTTTAAAATTTGGAATTTATTGTCTGTAATGCACTAGATTATTACTTACATTTTTGTACTGGTTTCAAAGTTTTCCGTTTTCCGTTTTGGAGGCTATGCATATTGCTGGTCCTTCTTATCTTCCCTTGTTCTCCTCCTGTCATTATTTATTGATGTTATTTTTTTCTTGCTGTTTTTTCTTCCCTTCTCTTTGCTTTTTTATTTTTACCGCTTTCTCCTCATTTACTTTCTTCTGGTTTTTCCTTCATTCCCTTGCTCTTTCCACCAATTGCATTGAATTGTCTACTCTTCCAGTGCATTGTATGCCTAACCTAATAAATATCCGTTTCAGACGAGCATGTAACGTACGTGAACTTGAACAGGAACCAGTTCGACAAGGCGGTTCGTGTGCTGCTGTCTCAGTCTCAATGCCGTATAGAGCTGCTGCGCTATAACTCAAACTCGGCTGCTTGGCAGCTCTTTGCTAGGGCGACCCCTGGCAACCTTTCGGAGCTGGAGACTGTTCTCGGAGACTGTTCTGACCTGCAGGACAATAACCGTCTCCTGGCCGTGCGTGTCGTCACCGAAGCCAGCAGCAGCAAGTTAAAGCAGATGGTATCAAGACATCTCTGTTCATGCCTAAGTCTCAAGTATACATGAATTATTTCCAGAAAGTGGCCGTTGCTTGTTCTGATCTTTTTCAAAGAACCTTCAACGTCGGCGAAT